ATAAAAGTGAACATAGAAGTCAACACTTAGAGGCGACAGTCTGTTTCATGCTATATGCAATCGTCAGGCCTTTTATATTTATATATATATATATATATATATGAACCTTATTGTCACTGCCGTTTTTGACCTCAGTGTACACTTTTAATGTAACATACGCTCAATCCCTGATATTGAGCCTTTTACCCATTAATATAGCATATTCTAAAACTATATTTTTATCATATATATATATATATATATATATATATATATATATATATATGATTGTGTATGTTTGTATGTATATTTTCATGTGTAAATTTTAGAGATAATATGCAGAGAGAAAAGAGCAAGAAAAGCTGATGGCGTTACATATATATATATATATATATATATATATATATATATATATATATATATATATATATACAAATCTTGCAACGATACTGAACCAGCCTCTTACTGAAATACTTTAATGATCTTAACCGCATCGGATCAGTCGCAATAGATGTTTTTTCGAATCTGGAATCCGAGAATTGTTGGGATTGGAAATCATAATTACTGTAAATAAGGACAATGTGATAGAACATGAATATGTTAATCCATTAATACATGCCTCATATTCCAATATATTTTTTTTCTTGTTAAATTCAGTTTCCTCAAGCGTTCAAACAGAAATGGAACTGTATTAAATCCGTTCGCATCAGACTCCAACGCAAATTCTATTAAATCTGGTATCCTCCGCGCAATAATTCTCGATATTCCGTGCCGTGCTCTCGGTGTGGGCTGGCTATTTGCGTTTGCTACCAGAAGTTCATGGTAAAATAAAGGCAAAGTTTTACTTCAAATGCCATATAGGCTGACACACCTTTCCAATCCGTTATGAATGAGAGAAAAGTAGAGCAGGAAATCTAAAAAATATGATAAAACTCTCAAAGAAAGAATCTCTTTTATCGCAAATTTGTTAAAAAAAAAACTGTTTCCTTCCTCTTAGTCGCAAGAAAACTGATTCAGAAATATTGATCGATTCGGAATATGTAAAGCGCCACAATTGATATTGGTGAGGATAATGGAGCGGATTCTTGCTGCCTTCTCCATAGTGAACAAGTGATTAAGTTTCGCACGTGACTGAAATTCATTATACATATATATATATATATATATATATATATATATATATATATGAGATGATGTATTATAACTACACAGATTAGATCGTTCGGACTGTTTTCCTCACCTTTATTATCATATTAACAATGTTTCGATTGTTGCACGCAACAGCCTTCTTCAGGCGATATCCGTTGGAATTTCCAACCCAACCCTTTATTCCGTCCACCGGGGCAGATTTTTCTACCTTGGTGCCAAAAAATAGAAGGGCCGAAATGTCAATGAAGTCGAGAAAAAATAAAATAGCATATGTGTGCATATATATATATATATATATATATATATATATATATATATATATATATATATATGATAAGATATATAGCTCTAAGTTAAGCTATATTTATGAGTTAAAATGCTCAATATCAAGGATAGATCGTGTGTAAATATAAAAGTGGACAGTAAAATCAACGCCCAGGGGTGACAGTCTCTTTCTTGCAAAAGACACTCGTCATGCCATATTGCGTTATGTTTTTGCTCGACTATTTATATAGTGATGCCTTATGTGTATTCTTTTGTATTATTATAGCGGTTATTTTGGTATGCACTAATTTTAATAATTCGAATTATTCTAAGAGCTATTGAGTGGGAATAATTGTGGATCCTGATGCAGTTTGGAAGTTATTTATAATCTTGTTTGTTAACTTTTTAAACATTTATTATTGATTATTTTATTGTTGGTTGTTATTAATACGTTTACTTGTGTTTATGTGTACGTTCGTGGTTGTTCATTTGTTTATTATTTACTTAATTTTTCTACTTTCTTATTGGATTTGATTAATTTATTTTGCTTATTTTAGTTTATTTATTTATTTTTATTTTATTATTTATTTATTTATTTTTCTTCATTATATATTTATTTATTCTCTTATTCATTCTCCTTTGCAGTTTTCGATTTTTAAGTAACGTAGTAAAACATTGCCATGAGTTCTGATCGCTTATTTAGTAGTTTGTTTTGTTCTGGGAATATCCCAAAACTGTAACCCCTGCCTGGAGGAGAATAATGCTATAATTACATTTCCAGACCAACACAAAGTACTGCGTATTTGTTTAAGCTCACAGTATAATCACGGTGAAACACAGGCTCAAGATTGATCACCGTAGTTAAGTAGTGTCAAGTCTGTTCAGTACTTAGATGGGGGGCGCTTGAAAACACTAGTTATTTTAAACGAAACCAGGAACGAAACTTGTTGGTCATGATGTTAGCAACTTTATCAAATAAAACTTTACATATCATAGAAGCAACGCCAAGAATTATTGAGAGCTGTGGCTCTATAATGTCCAGGTAAGAGTAAAGAACTAAAAGTGAAGTGGATAATTTTCTGAGATATTTTTTTTACGTTTGAGAGGACAAAATATATTTTCATGTTTACCTTTGAGATAAAATATTTTATTTACTTATTTACAGTCTATGAAGGCGAAAAGAGACGTTTCCAACCAGGAAGCAGGTTAGAATCATGAAGTTGCCTGAGAGGAGGGCCAAAGTTTGTGGAACAAGACGGTACCTATGTGGCTGAATAAATCTATGATGACTTTCTAAAGGCAACCTAGATGTGGCGCGAACCCAAAGGAGGGTCACCCAGTCAGGATTGAATTCCTTATTCAGTTGTAACTGATCTAGCGAGACAAGCTTGCTAACCATTACACCACGTCGAAGTGCCCAAATAATTTTTCTAAGAGTAGTTTAGATGTGAAACAAGTCCTAAAATATGGGGCAGATATTGACGATCCAGCACACTATTCAATTGTAAATAATCAAACGTGACACACATATTATTACACAACGTCAAAATTCCTATAATCATTATTTAATAGGCTTATCATAGATCTGGCATAAGGCTAAAAGTATGGAGCACACTTTAAGACTTGAACTCGCTACTCAGTAGTAGCTGATCTAGAGAGACATGTTTGATAATCAACAAACCACGTACAATGCCCAGATCATTTTCTAAGTATAGATTATATATAGCAAAAGGCCTAAAGTATAGAGCACCCAGTTTGGATTGAACTCACTATTCAGTCGTAATCAAGCTTGCTAACCATTACATCACGTCAATGTGCACAGATGATTTTCTCAGCCTAGCTTAGGTGTGGGTCAAGGTCTAAAATAATGGTACCCCCTGATGAACAATCTCACTATCCAGTCGTAATTTTATCTCGCGAATCAAGCTTGCTAAACATCACATCACGTCAAAGTGCCCAGATGAATTTCTAAGCTTTGCTTAGGTGTGGGACAATACCTAAAATAATGGTACAAAGTGATAATCAAACTCACTGTCCAGTCGTAATTGATCTCACGAAACAAGCTTGTTAACCATTACATCACGGCAAAGTGTGCAGATAATTTGTAAAGCGTAGCTTAGATATAGCACAAGGCCTAAGATATGAGGTAACCAGTGTGGATTTAACTCACAAGCTTGATCAGTTATGACTGAATCAGTCTTAATTGATCTGGCGAAATAAGCGTGTAAACAGTTGTTCAAGTGACAACAAGTCCCAACACGTCTTCATTAATTATCTTAGCGTTCTTTATTTGTGGTTGTTATATGAATTTTCATTCAAACTGTTAATGGATGCTGTCAGTGGATCTCTAGATTTTCTAATCTCTCGTCGTCCGCTCATTCTTACTCATTGACTTGTACGATCGATTGAACAGATGTGCGAATGCAATGCGCCGCTCAATAACTTCATGCATTAATATTCAATCTGGTTTGCATCAATAGTTCAGAATAAAGAGCAAAAGCTTATGCTTTTGCAAATTGGGAATGGGCAAATGATGTTTGCATTATTTGTAGACATTATAATTCCTATCTCTCTCTCCGTATATATATATATATATATATATATATATATATATAATCTTCAGAAGACTGGAAATGGTACTAAGAAACATCGATGTCGGGATAAAAATTGATATTTAAAAAGTTAAGTGTCCTTTCATATAATATAATTAACGGTTTATTTTTTTATTATCATTTTTATATTTTTAATATTGACAAATGTGTGTGTGTGTGTGTGTGTGTGTGTGTGTGGGTATGTGTGTGTGTGTGTGTATGCATGTATGTATGTACGTCCGTGTGTGTGATAATGATATAATTTTATATATATATATATATATATATATATATATATATATATATATATATATATGTGTGTGTGTGTGTGTGTGCGCGTGTGATAATGATATATATGTTTCTATATATAATGAACAATTTTAGGGTAAGATGTGTGAAAAATTGGACAAATGTTTTCGTTTGAGGCGTTACATCCTTAAGGAACATCTTCAGGTATGGAAATAGATTTGTTTTTGTTTTTTACTTCTCGATAATAACAGGACAACGAAAATATTGTTGTAATCCGAAAAAAATGTTTTTAGAAATGTGTCATTGTTAATTGTAAGAAATTTTTTGGAGCGTACGGTCGCAACGCTGAGGTTGAATTTTTAAATTTTAAGATTGTGCGTTTTTGTACTAATATGGTAATAGGAGAATTCTTTTGCACTGGTAGGTTTTTCAGTCAATGTGAACTAAATAATGAACTAAATTGTTCAATAAATGCAGGAATGTCACAGTCATTATCCGAAAGTTGCACGTCGGATCAGTTATGTTAATATTAAGTATGTGGTGCATATGATTCATGTAATATACATTGAACTGCACCACATACTTGACATATATATATATATATATATATATATATATATACTTATTTGTTTAAAATATGATTCCAACACGCTACATATGCTCTACTTTTGTATAGAGCACTATTTTTTAAAAATAATAACAAAAATACTAAAGAACTTTGGATTATTTACCTAACGAGTTCTTTCCTATTTTTTATATATTTTTCACATAGATAGATAGATAGATAGATAGATAGATAGATAGATAGATAGATAGATAGATAGATGGGAGGCATTTTGCACCTGAAGATTGCGTGAAAATATATATATATATATATATATATATATATATATATATATATATATATATATATATATATATATATATAATTCTTTTTTATATGTCAAGGTTATATTTCAATTCGAATCATCGCTTTTTAAATTAACTGTGTCAAAGAATGAAGGTATTAAAATAAAAGCTGCATCATGGGAAAAACCAGCCTTTTCCTACTCCGTCTTTTTACGGGTATAAATGTCCATGTTTGCAAAAAAAGGTCTTGCATTTTTAAGAGAATTAAGGTTAACCAATTATTTACTGCATTTTAATATTTACTACAGTAGAATAATTCCAATAGCATTTTCTATTTTCACAAGTGATACGTCTCTTCATAGTACGCCAGAAAAACTGCAATTTTCTTCGTCAGCTAAAATGTTACTGTTTTTTTTTATTGTTTGAACAATGAAGTACCAAATAAAGATATTGACAACGTGATTCGCTGTAATTTGCGGGCATGCTGCTATCGAGTATTGGCAACTAACCTAGTTTAGCAGAACAGCAAATCTCGAATGAGCATTATAGTCTTGGGCTGTACTAAGTTGAACTGCGCAAATATCGATTCGCTGTAACTGGCATTAAAAAGTAAATAAATAAATTATAACGAAATAGAAAATGATGGATTACAGAAAACATTCCTAAATATTTCATGCCTTCAAATTCCTGAACTGTGTTTAATATTAACAGGTCACTATTAAACATAGCTGCCTGTATCGGTACTTGCGCATATAAAGGCTTAGATATTTAGCTGAACTGTATTATGGGAACTGCAACCAGAAATATACATTATTTTTCAATTTGTCACAATATTACTATATAGTAACAACTCCACAAAACGGATATTATATATATATATATATATATATATATATATATATATATATATATATATATATATATATATATTTAAATTTTTATTTGGTGAAATAAATTATTGTAATGGTACCTTAAATTGTGTTTTCTGTTTTAATTAAATTTATATATATATATATATATATATATATATATATATATATATATATATATATATATATATATATACAAATGTTTAGAGGTACAAAATTTATATACAGTTTTAAAAACTAGGAATTTATTGATTTTAATATTATTAGTCTCTAAGGCGCTTTCAACCAACGTCTCATCAAGAGACAATCGTTGGATCAGTAATTAACGAAAAAAACAGTAACGAAAATAAAGACCAAAAAAAAGGGGGGAAACACGCTAAAATAACAAACAAGTGTATATACTTGTAACGAGGGAAGGAGAAATAACGTGTAAATAAATTAGCGAGGGACAGTTAAAATAAAATATCCCCCAACAGATTAAGGGACTTTACAAATACTTTCTGCCGGCAGAGAGAAGGTTTCCTTAATCCTATACAGACTGATTCCAAAATCTTCAAATGACTGTTGGAACCAGCCGTATGAATGATTCCTTGTTTTTAAAACTATATATATATATATATATATATATATATATATATATATATATATATATATTATAATTATTTTTAATACGATTCCATCGCTTCACAGAAATTACTATGTTTCGAAACTGGTCAGCAGTATTCAGCTTTAATTTCAATATTAAAACCCAACTACCAAGCGCCAGTCTCATCCTCAGGCTATTTTTGGAGTAACTATGCTTACAGAATGTTTTGCTCATTTATAGTTTTGAAATGATGGGGGTGATCTAGGGTTTGTTTTTCATTATCAAGGAGTCACTACTTTGATTGAGGTAGGGGTGTTCATGATAATTGTTGTGATGAACCTTCCTCTTTGGTACCTATAGTTTACGAATTCAAGTGCAGTAAGGATTAGCGACAAAGTCTCATCATCTTACAGTTGCGCTGGCTAGATATAACCGTAAGTTCTATGCTAACAGTTTACATATGGAACTCACTTCCGGCTTCTCAAAAATTTAGATACAATGCCAATCATTATCTTCCGTCTTCTTAATTCTTGTTCTTTTAGTTTGCTCTTCCTTTAATAATGTTTTCTTCCCATATTCTTTCAGCCTAGGTAAATCATTGAGTCTTAGTGGCTTTTTTTGCCTTGCTTGCTCTGATTTTTTTTTCTTTTTAAACAATGAATGTCACATTAGGAATTTCAGACTTAAGTTTAGTTTTATTTTAAATTACCCATCAAGATCGTGCGACTTGACGTAGTTAGGTTTTTTTTCCTTTGGCGTCATCTCAAAAGTAAGCTCTATGCCAAGAAGCCAAGAACAATTCAACAGCTGAAGAATTAGTTAATAAGGCATACGGTGAGATTGAGGAGCAACTATGCCGAGACGTCATCAAAAAATTTGACCACCTAGTGGAGGTGTGTCGTCGAAGCCTTGGCGGACATTTGGGCGATATTATTTTTCACATACAATTACCATGACTTAAATAACATGATCCAATAAATAAATACATAAATTTTCACCGATAACAATGATTTATTTACAGCTGACTTTAATCCGTCTTAATGAAACACCCTTTATATGAATAAAATATGAATTAATTTTCCCAAACAGTATAAATGAGCGTAAGACAAACGTGTTTTCTTACCGGATTTATTTAACATTTACAGCGAGATAATTATAAGAGGCTAGAAACAATGACAGGATTCATGGGGGGGTATACGCTTAACAACATAAGATATGCAGATAAAACCTGGTTTATTGCAAACGCAGAAATCAAACCGCAGGGTCACCTAGAAAATGAAGAACAACAAAAGACGATTATCGTCAATTGCAAGAAGACAATGTGTGATTGAAAGCAAGAAAATATTCCAAGTTGCAAGTTACGAATTAGAAATGTCAGAATCAAACAAGGACAACTGTTTAAATAACTCATTGATTATTTTTTAATCATTTCACCCCAAGCAAAGATGAAATGCCACTGGTACGTAGAGAGTTACAGGAAGTGAAAATGAGAGAAAAAAAAAAAGACACAGTATAACGAGGATTCAGGAAAGTATAAAAGATGAACGGGATTCAAGAAGATAGAAGATGGCGAATGACCTTGAATTTCGATTTTTGTAGGTTACTTTGGGTTGTTTTTTGTTTTACGGCATATCAACCTCAGTGAGTTATTTAATGCCGACAAGATTTTTATTGCATGTAATGTTTTTATTCAAAAAGTATTTCTGATAATATTTTTCTCAAAAATGTATTGCTGGCAATTCTTTTTTTTTTTTTAAATGTATTTCTGGTATTTTCTTTTTCAAAAATGTATTGCTGGTAATATTTTTTCAGAAAAGTATTGCTGGTAATAATGTATTGCTGTTATTTTTTTCTTCGAAGATTTATTGCTGGTAATAATATTTTTACGAAAAAGTATTGCTGGTATTAAAACCTATTTTTACACGTTCTGACCCCAGTTTAGAGGTTAACTAATTGCCCATAGCTGGGACCCTAACAGGTGTTACCACCCCGAGTTAGGGTTGACCTGGGAACACCAGCAATTAAGAGCTGGTTCCACGCTTCTCAAAACCTTCTGATCAGAGGCTTTGCTGTTAGATGCTTATTTAATATCTGTCTATATTTCTGAGATGAGGTATATTAAATATTTACACTTTTTAAATTTTTTAAACTGTTGTCCTCATCTTCATTGACATATTCACGACGTTTCGGCCGTTGTACGCTCCAGCCTTCCTCAGTTAATATTTATTGATATTTCGAACCGAACCCTTTAATTGGTCCACAGGGGTAGATTCTTCTACTTCCATGTGTCATGCATTAAGATATCTCAGTTTTAGTTAATTCCCCTTGATAATTCTCCTTTTTTTGTTCTGTCTGCTGTGTCCAGGTATTGCATTTCTTTTTACAATAAGATTCACTCTGTACAAGGTCCGTGGGTTACTCGAGGGTAGGGGTAGTTTATATGGATAGAAGGGTAATATAACGGTTAACTCCAGGTTTTGAACAGATTAAGATCGGGAAAACATCCTCTTTGGAGTCCCTTCGACAAAGCAATGCTTCGCGAGAAGAAACTGTTCGTGTGGAATTTAGTTACGACCGATGGAGGGCTGTGGCTGTTTTACGAAAATGTAAGTGGTTTAGCGGTTCGTAGCTGTGAAGTTTAGAGCTGGCGAAACTAACGAATGTAGTTCTTCCGAACATGGAGGTAGCAATAGAAAAATGAGAGGCACGCCACATCCCGCCTTTGAGAAAGAGATTTAAGGGTGGAAAATAATTCGTCACCAAAAAGGACTCGGAGATTTTCTATTAAGACTGGAAAGTGTTGTGGGTTAGCTCCCGCCTAAATATACCCCCATTTTCGGCCTGATCTGGCTTTTATCTGACTGAAGTCAATTTTGGATCAATCACGCAACGTCCCCCTGCTGCCTTGGCTAAGTATTATTGCAGAAACATATGGCTATAAAGATGAACACAACAGTTCGAACAATGTTTAACTATATAGAATTTAAGGTTAATCGCCATCTTCTATCTTCTTGAATCCCGTTCATCCTTTATACTTTCCTGAATCTAGTGTAAATATTTTTAGTATATCAAATTATTATTCTCCACTTGGTTGATATAGATGAAAATTTTATTAAAAATTAAGAAGAGTGCTGATTAGCTATGTAATGTTTTGTGATGTCAACGAATACTCGTTGTCACTTTTTTTAATGTCAACGAATACTCGTTGTCACTTTCGTAATGCCCCAGGACACACTAGGAGAAAAGAAGGCTTTGATAATTTGATCCACAGGAGATACTGAAGACGGGAGGGCAAGAGAGATGAAAGAGGGTGAATCTACTGATCGAGCTTGTATAAATGGATGGTAGAACAGGGTCAGTAAAAGTTAAATATTGCTAATAGGTATAAAGTATATGAAGTCGTGGTGAGACATGATCGCCTACGTCCTGAAGGGTCCCGGCATATTGAAGAAGATGCTTTTAATAAAGGAAACAAAGAAAAGAATTTTATAGTTTATTAGTATAATGCAGTTGCATAATAATATAAATGTA